AAAAAAAAAAAAAAAAAAACCCAGCACAGGGGGGTCGTGGCACAGTAGTGTATGGCATACTTCAATTAAGTATAATAATATCTGACAGTGATTAAAATCACTATCAAAAAAACGCTTTGATTAAAATCTTTAAATAATATTTAATTTTAAAAAATTGATAGATTATTCAAAAAGCAAAATGAACTCTTAATTCCTTATTTATATTCTGATTATTAGTCATTAGATTTAAAAGTATAGTAGTGAGATTTTAGTGAGAGATTAAGTAAGTGGATTATTTCAAAAGCTACATGATCTGCTATTTCCTTATTAATATCCTGATTAAGATAAAGTATGTCGAATAAAAAAGGGATTATATATAATAAATAATATATTTCTCGTAATAAATTGTATTAATCCATACATTTTTCAAAAAGTTATTGCATAATAAAGTTAAAAATGTAAAATACAAAATCGAGAATTTTCACACAAAAATAGCATTCGGTAGCCATTTTCACTATGAAGACAAAATAAAGTCCAACATTTTTTTTTTTTAATATTAAAGTATATTACATAAGCTTTAATTTAAGTTGTATATAAAAGTGTCAGTATTTCCGGAACACTTTCAAAAATTAAGTTGAAAAAATTCTACTTTCTATATGCATTTTTATGTTTTGAAACCCCCCCATATACAGGGAAATTATCTGATTGAAAAAAAAAGCATATCGAATGGAAGATGTATATAAATACTACTCCTCATGAAAAAATTGTATTGATCCATACATTTTTAAAAAAGTTATAGCATTTTAAAGTAAAAAATGTAAAATATAAAATCGAGAATTTTCACACAAAAATGGCATTCGGTAGCCATTTTTACCGTGAAGATAAAATAAAGTCCGAAATTTTTTTTTTTCATGATAAAGTATATTACACTAACTTTAATTTAAGGTATATATAAAAGTATCATTTTATATAAAAATTTCCGAAACAGTTTCAAAAGTTAAGTTGAAAGAGTTCATTTTTTGTGAAAAAGTTGTCATTTTAAATCCCCCTGTGGGCAGGTAAAGAGTCAGATTTATAAAAAAAAAACCCAGCACAGGGGGGTCGCGGCACAGTTGTGACGTGGTATAGTTGGATCAAGTATAATGATATCTGACAGTGATTAAAATCACTATCAAAAATAAACGCTTCGATGCAAATCTTTAGATAGTGTTTAATTTTAAAAAAATTGGTGTTTTATTCCAAAAGCTACTTGATTTGCTGGTTCCTTAATATCTCGATTAAGATAAAGTATGTCGAATGAAAAAGGGTTTATTAAAAAAAATTATTTCTCATAAAAAAATTGTGTGGATCCATAAACTTTTCAATAAGTTATAGCATTATAAAGTTAAATATAATATGAATAATAAAATCGAGAATTATCACACGAAAATAGCATTCGGTAGCCATTTTCGCCGCGAAGAAAAGTCCAGAGGTCAAATTTTTTTTTTTCAAATTAAAGTATATTACATTAGCTTTAATTTAAGATATATATAAAAGTGTCAGACCTTCCGGAACATTTTCAAAAGTTATGTTGAAAAAGTAAATTTTTTGTGAAAAAGTTGTCATTTTAAATCCCCCCCTGTGGGCAGGTTAAGTGTCAGATTTACAAAAAAAATATACCAAATGATAAGTAAAGACATCAAACATCTATATAAAAAAGAATTATATTGATATGTTCATTTTTGAAAAAGTTAGAGGATTATTAAGTTAAAAATATAAAAAAAAATTATTTTACAAAAATCGTAATTTTTTATTAACTTTGATGTCAACTTTCACCACGAAGACAAGTCCAGAGGTCAAATTTTTTTTTTTCAAATTAAAGGATATTACNTTTCACCATGAAGACAAGTCCAGAGGTCAAATTTTTTTTTTTCAAATTAAAGTACATTACATTAGCTTTAATTTAAGATATATATAAAAGTGTCAGACCTTCCGGAACATTTTCAAAAGTTAAGTTGAAAAAGTTAATTTTTTGTGAAAAAGTTGTCATTTTAAATCCCCTTCTGTGGGTAGAAAAAAGGTTGAATTTACAAAAAAAGTATACCAAATGATAGGTAAAGACATCAAGCATCTATATAAAAAAAAATTATATTGATATATTCATTTTTGAAAAAGTTACGGCAGTTTTTAGTAAAAAAAATTGAAAAAATTTCGAAAATTAGCGATGTTTAAATTTGTAATTTTGTTGAAGGTTTCCCCCCATTTACGGGGTACGAGGGAAATTTTTTCAATTTTTGAGGGTAATGCCTTCGACTAGATACGATTTGTGATCTTTTGGCGTATCGTTGAAAGAAATCCGTTCGGTGAAAGCTGAGAAAAAGTGGTAACAGACACAAAAAAAACAGATCATAGTAAAACCAATACCTTCTCAGCTTCGCATTGAAGCTAAAATATATAAATATTGAAATATGCTGTGGTAAAATTTTCCCTAAGTTTATTTAATGGTTAATATAAAAAGTAAGATTTTAAATTAAATTAAACTTTTAATTTCGAGTTGAGGTTTGAAGTTAGAAAAATTTTTATCCGATAAATATAATATTATTTTTATGCTGTATAATGACAAATAAACTTCTTCAACACAATAATATTTTATGTCCTAAATAAATACGAATAAATTATAATGTAAAAAATATACATCAATAATAATTATACATATTCGAGTATTCATGTTTGTATTTATACCTGTAAATAGACTATATAACGAAGTAATGTTATAAGACTTATATGAATTAGTTATTTTTTTTTTTTTGTTCAGTAACTATTATTTATTATGTTGCTTATACAAATGATATTCATTTCTATACTAGTATGTCTTACTAGCAGTTTAAATTTGCTTAAAAAATCACCTGAATTTAATGACATTATTAACTCTGAAGGATGGAAATCTATTAACGTTACTAGATACAAACCTATTGATACAAATAATCCTTCAGAAATTGATAAGCATCTTGCTTCATTAATATTAAGTGAATTTTACGAATATGTGCTATCTTATATCCATTCTAATTATAAAACGATGGTATTTAATTATAAAAATCTCCCAGATGACGAGATAAAAGTGGAGAAATTTAAAAAATTAATCAATACTATTATTAAGTTTGAACCATTAATGAGTTGTATGGCTAAAGCACTACAATATTTTAAATTTGACAATCAGATGATGAAAAATCAGAATTTTGTACTTAACATTCTCAAAAAAGTATTATCATTTACAAAAAAAATAACTAATATTGACATTGAAAATAAATACAAAAACGATCTCGAAGAAAAGTATAAAGTTATAAATAAATTATTTAATAAATTTAATGAAATTGTTAAGATACCCGTAAATTACGCAACCGGTATTCAATTTTAATATCAAAATAAAAAGTATTTAAATGAATATATTAATGGATTCATAAAAAAAGATAATGAAATAGGTTTTATGTCTTTTGATCCTTATCACTCAGATTTTCAAACAAACGTTGAGGAAGGCGTTACTATGTTGTGCGTAAATTTTGGATTTGGAAAATAGGTGATAAAATACATAATATTTGTTTTTCTTTCCCCACTTTATGATCATAAAAAAAAATCTATAATTTATAATATTGTATAATACATATATTTTTTAATATAATAACTAATTTATTTTTAACCTATAATATTATTTAGATTCAATTATTAAAAGAAAGACTAGAAGTAATTTCTTTTTATATACTAATATATGAAAAATTCAAAGTATTGTGAAAATTGTTTTATGTAAATAAATTTTTTACAGCTACACACGTTTTACATTTTTATTTTATTTTTTTAAACTCTCGATTATAATTTTATTAAAAATTTTATCATTTATGACAGTGGCTTAATTAGACATTTTTTAGAGGATTTAGATAACTTCAAAACATAAAGTAGAATCAATTTATTTATTTATTTTACAAAATAAAACCTAATCAAACTAGACATATGAAATTTACAAAGAATATCTCTTTAAAATAATTATCAATATTAATGTTTTTTAAACCTCTAATAGTATATATCAATTAATCAATTACTAAAAATGTTGTATTTTCTATGTTGCCTCCTTTGACGAACGACTGATTGTTGTGTGATAGTAAATAATTGTTTTGAATATAGTGTCTTATTATAATAGGCAATGAACTAATTTATAATAGGCTAATTGATGGTATTAGTCTAAGATTTTTTTTCTTTATGATTTAGAAACACGTATGTAAAATTATAAGAATATTACTTTGAGTGCTTACCTGCTTAATTTATGCGTTAAAAGAGCCATAAACGAAGCATTTGTAAATATTCGAACATATTTTGATATTAGTATTAATTTCTTGATTTATAAGCAGTTAAATATTTTTTTAGTGTACTAACATTTTTTTAAATAAGAATATACATAATTAATTTGCTTTTTTATTAGAGTGTTCTAATAACAACTTTTAGATTATTGGATTTTTAATAATATAGTACACTTCAATTGTAATATACACATAGTTGTCAAAAGTTCTGAAATTTTTTTTAGCTTCGATGCGAAGCTGAGAAGTTATTAATTTTTCCATGATTTGTTTATTTTTTTTTTTTGTGTCTGTCTCTACTTTTTCTCGGCTCTCATTGGACCGATTTCTTTCAACAATACGTCAAAAAATCACAAATCAAACTTAGTTGCAGACATTACCCTTTAAATTGAAAAAATTCTTC